GGTAGCATTGATTCCAATTGCACCTGAGCCCCTCCCAAGGGAAGAAGCAGCATAAACGTAACGGCTGATGAAAACATACGTGGTTTTTGAAACTATAAAATCTAGATGCTACTCAGAGCTGTACTGATAGGGCATTTCGATATCTAAGCAGACTCTGTGGCTAGCTAGCAGATGCTCATGGCATTGGTTTGCTCAGGATGCTGCTGGGTTTTGTTTGTGTGTTTTTTTAAGAAGATCAAGAATGTATCATGGTTAAGATGTCTTCCGAAAAAAATCATTTCCCCCTGCCAGAAGCAGAGAGACAACATAGGTCTGAAATGGAGGCTTGGGAATAAAGGGCTACATATACTGGAGATACAGGCCTGGTGTAATGAATGGCGTATTGGACTGGGGTCTAGTCCCTACTTGTCCATGACTGCCCTACTGGATGACCTCAGGGCAGTCACTGCCTTTTGCCTAGCCTACCTCACAGGGTTGTTATGAGGCTAAAATGAAGGGGAAGGAGAGGGAGAAGACAACATAGGTTGATTTGGGCTGTGTAGAAGTTGTATTATAAATGTAACAAACAAAGAGATGTGTATATAGGGACAAGGTCCGCAGCCTGGGAGTGCTCCTCGACCCGGAGCTTTCTTTGGAAGCTCAGGTGACAGCAGTGGCGAAGAGCACTTTCCTTCAGCTTCGGCTGATCCATCAGCTGTGCCCCTACCTGGAGTACGACTGCCTGGCGACAGTGACACACGCGCTGGTGACTTCCCGTCTGGACTTCTGTAACGCGCTCTGCGTGGGGCTACCCTTGAAGACGGTCCGGATACTTCAATTGGTTCAAAATAGAGCTGCCAGGCTGCTGACGGGGACTGGGCGTTATGTTCACATGACTCCAGTCCTCCGTCAGCTTCACTGGCTTCCCATTGAAGTCCGGGCCCAATTCAAGGTGTTGGTGATGACCTATAAAGCCCTGAACGGCTTGGGTCCTGGTTACCTGAAGGAGCGCTTACATCCATATATGCCTGCCCACCCCCTGAGATCAGCGGGAGAGGCCCTTCTCCGGGAACCCTCCATGAAACAAATTAGGAGGGTAGGTACTCAGAGGAGGGCTTTCTCTGCGGTGGCGCCCAATCTATGGAATGCGCTCCCCAGAGAGGTCCGCCTGGCGCCGTCGTTATTTGTTTTTCAGTGCCAGGCGAAGACCTTTTTATTTAAGCATCATTTATTTGTTAATATTATTTGCAATATTTGCTTATTTTATCTGGCCAGGGCGACTTATTTTATATTGTTATTTCTTGTATTTTAATTTTATGTTGTGAGCCGCCCCGAGGCTTCAGCGAATGGGGCAGCATAGAAATGTTTTAATAAATAAATAAATATTCACTCATGCACCAAAAACATAGAAGTGGGAAATTAAGGGCACCATCTTATTGTCCTCCAAACTCAAAGGCACCCATGCATCTGTTGCCTGGAGTGAGGTGCAGCAGCGGTCTTTGCTGCCACTGCATTCTGCCCCATGCATTTTATCGAGGCATCTGTATTTGGCCTCCTAGATCAGGTGCCAGGGAAGTTGGGGTGCTGATAGGATTTGGCATGGGTGGACAGCCGCAGCCTCTTCCCCTTCCCACCTTGGCACATCCCCCTCTCCACAGGAACAGAATCCTATCCCCCCCCCACCCCCAGCCTCTTTCTCTCCCCCTCACCAACTCTCTGAAGGACCCTATGCTCACCCCAGATGAATAGGGAGGCCATAGAATTTCAACCTAAGGCATCCCATCTTGATGATCACATTATGTAAGCTTCAAAAACACACTACTGTCCCACGTATTCTGCTCCTTCCAAGGCTCTTCCGTGAATTTATTTATTTAGGAAATTTATAGGCCATCCATCACTGTCATCTCTGGACGGCTTACAGAATTATTCTAAATCCTAAACAAAATAAATTAACTATTCCACGAACTGAGCATAAAACTGACATATTTAAAATAAATTAAATAAATCATATACAATTAAATTGGTTGAGGTTAAAATATTGATCGAATAAAAAGGTCTTGAATAAACTTGCAAGCCTCTGGATCCCATTTACCAATCAAATATGAAATTAACTTGGAAGCACATCACTCTTTTCTTTCCGCCCTATCAGATATGAACAGCACAATTTGCTAGTAGATTACTTTCCATTTAAAGCAGGTAGTTTGAAACCTCACAACTGTAGAAATGAGCAATGGGCTTCCACCAAACTACTGTAGAGCAAGCACTTGAAATACCCATGTATTTTTAACATAACCTAGCGCATCTTAAGGAGAACTTGAACATATATTGTGGCCATTTCAAAGCAAAACTGCTGAAATACAATTCATCCATTGTAACTCTCTTTGCTGTGGCTTGAACGTGGATAATGGTAGTTTTTTAAAGCCATGGTACATTCATTCCTAGCCAAAGCTGTCCTAGTCAGCATCTAAAGGGCCGTAGGTTTGTTTGGATTCCCAGCTCCAAGGTAGGAAACCAAAGCTGTTCCCTCCTCAAAGCTGTTCCCCGCCCCCTCCTTGCAGCTGGCACAGAAAGAACCTCACCGGCTGCTTCCCCAAGGTTGCAAAAGTGACCCTGAGGAGGTGGTTTAGATGGGGAGGGGGAGAAGGAGGCAGGAGACGGGTGCTGCCAAGATGTGACAAATCCTGCCAGCACCTTGGCCTCTTTCCCACCCTTCCAAAGTGCAGCACTTAGAAGTCATGATCAGCAGTCTAGTGACTTTGCTGAGTGGGAGAACGAAAGTGACCCTCCTCAATACTCTAAGTCTACTATTTTTCATTAGGGTTTTCTGAAATTTGGTCAAATGAAACCCTTTACTGCAGGGTGTTGAACCTCCAGGCAAAGCCACCCCACCTGCGATTGCTCCAGCTTTGCTCAGAGGGTCATGTTCCCTTCCTTTGTACATCTTTGTACTTTGTACTTCTTCTTCCTTCTCTTTTCTCCTCCTATATTCTTTATTTACTTATTTTATACTGTTAATTTTAATTTTATATTATTGTATCTCAGTGTATTTTTTGTATTTTTGTATTTCGTGGTAATTTATTATGTTCTATTGTATTTCAATGTATCTTACTGTGTTGTAAGCCGCCCCGAGGCTTCAGCAAGGGGCGGCATAGAAATGTTATAATCATCATCATCATCATCATCATCATCATCATCATCATCAGTGGTTTAGTGGTTTCCCAAATCTTGTGCAGTTTTTGCCATTCTAGAACATTGAAATGGTTTTCCTCAGGACTAGTTGCTAGCAGTCTGCTATGAGATGCTCCTATTTGGGCACATGGACTTCCATCTTTAGCCCCAGGCTGTTTTGTTCTGCCCACCATGCAATGTGGTCCCTGAAACTTCCCCGAAGCTGAATTCAGCCTTCGGCTGAAAGAGGCAGGACAACTTGGCTTCACCAGGATCCTCTGGGGGACAATTTGTAATAACAAATGTGTTATTTTTTACAATACAAATTACAATTTGTTACAATTTGTTATTCCTGTGAGCTGTCCCGAGGCTATGTTGCAAGGGGACGGCATATAAAAACTTTAAATAAATAAATAAATAAATAAATAACATAATAACAGAGCAGCTCTTCTTGATTTTCTCCAAAAAAAAAAAAAAAAAGAATTTTCAGGTTTTCTGGTGGCAGAACACAGAAAAAAAGGTGTTTTTAGTCAGTCTGGAACACCATAATCATCTCCTCTTTTACTGTTTTTGCATATGGAAAACAACATATGCAAGATGTCTTCAGACTGAAGAGCTGCAGAACTTAAAGATGGAGAAACCTACTTTGCTTTGTAAGAACAGCACAAAGAACAACGTCACTAGTATTGGCACAATTATATAGGACCAGGATTGTGACCTCTGGCCACATTTGAGAATTTGTGAAACTGACATGGGCACGAGCACAAAATGGCAGGCATAGAGGACATGGCTATTTTCCTAATAGTTACTGCAGGAGCTTGGCTAGTCAAATGGGAGTGAAAGAGGTATGTATATATGTATGTATGGGACAGAGAAGGAGGGAGGCTACAGGCTGGGTTGGAGGCAGAAACACCAAAGCAAAGGGGTAGAGAGAGAAAACCAGCAAGGCCATGGAGAGAAACAGCCTCACAACCCCCAGCATTCCCCAGCCAGCGAAGGCTCAAATCCAAGGGGTTTGGGAAGTCCAGCCTTACAGCTGCTGCACTGTAGGATAGTGTAGCAACCAATTTAATTTGACAACTCAATTTCAGTCTCCTCCTAATGTAAGCAGAGCACTCTCTGGGATTTCTTCCTTGAAATTTATAGAGTGATTTGAAAATTTTTCCTGGGCAAGTTATTTTCATTGGATCACAAAGGCATGGATTAATGGATTGGTGTTTGTTCAACAATCTAAGAGCAGAGTTGGCCAATTCTATTTATACATAGTAGAAGGGGAGCCTGCTGACTTTTAAGGTAGCTTTGCCAACTGCACGCCTGACCCAGGCCTCTCTTTCCTAAAAAGAAAGACAAGGCAAGGACATCAATTCAAGGCATGGCCTCCTCTGCTCAGGACAGCACATCCCTTTCCTTGAATTTAATAGCGTCTTCAGCTGAATCACATCACCTAGGATGGTTTGCTTTGGCATCTGTGTTGGCAACCCATTGCCTTCTGGGCACAGTTCAAGTCTATGGAAACTATTTTTTTCACTTGCAGTGCGCTACATGGCTTCATCCTCAGACTCAGCAGAGATGGCCTCTTCTTGTATGCTCCCTCCCCAACTTTAAGGCCATCTTTCTTTTTGTTTTCCCCTATGTCTGGGCTGAAGGCAGGAGCCCTGGGCAACAGGGTTCAGATAGTCACCAAGCAGCTGGACGGACCTGGATATATCTGGATTTGCATCCTGGTGGAGGCAAGCTATCAGCATCTCCCCACCCCAGGGACTCTGTGTAAAGAAGATGACCACTGGAAGGAAGTTATTCCTTTCCCCAATCTCTAACAGAAGGCAAAGACACTGAAGCAAGACAGGCAGTGAAACTGGTCTACATCAGGTGCCTTTATTTAAGAAGAATTTGTATATAAAATGTGACCAAGAACAATTATGAATAAGAACGTCATTAAAAACATGTCTAAGAAAGGGAGAAAGCATCAGATTTTAGCCATCAAGGAACAGTAAGTGAAAGGGTGAGTACAGGTTTTGCAGCATATATTGCTGGTTCATTCCAGTGGGTACAATTCAGCACATTCTTCTGTACTCCCCTCCTTGTAATGAACAGGAGATGCACACAAACACATTAGCAACTGGTTGATACCTTTAGCTCATAAGGTGAAACACAGAGACAGAACTCGGTTCCTAACAGTTTTTTATGTGTAACACAAGTATCTTTACAATGATGCTCCTCCTGGCCTTAGGATATTCTCTCCAATGAGACAACAAAGATGGAAGTTACCACATTTATGCATTAAACAGAAAAAAACTTGATGAATTTCCCAACATAGAGAAAAGGACCTGAGCTGAAAAATTCACGCTTTACATTGTTCAGCTTCAGTAAGATTGTACAAAAAGTTTCCCTTTTGAAGTTCAAAAGTGCAGATTAGAAATGCCTCATGGTGAATTTGTGCTCAACTTTAGCTCTTTTTAAAATATTTGTTGCTTTTATATACCAAATAGTTTAAAAAGAAAACCTTTTCAAATATCTTTTGCAAATATTAAAGTGTCTTGGGGAAACAATGTAAATGTAGCAAAAACAAAACAAGATACTTGCCAACAGCTACCACATCGGGAGCTTTTTTGTGTTTAAAATTCTCTTCCATTACTGGAATTTCTACTGGTTACAACAGCAAGACAAATGACTCCAGAAGTGTCATTGGTGTCTGTTATCCAAGTGTCAATTCATACTTACATAGCATCACACTTGGGGAACAGTGCAAGTGTTACTATGGTAAATACAAGGGTGTGGTTCGCACATAATGCTATGCCATGATGTGGTTTGCTGAAACCTTGCTTGTTGTTATCTAGCCCACAAATAAACCATGTTTTGTCTACTTGCTATGAGCAACATGCAAAAGCCATGGTTTGTTGCTAGCTTGCCAAATTTAAACCTTGTTTAAATCTTGGCTTGTTGTGATGTCTGAACCTAGGACAGTAGCTTATCCTTAACTTGTTTGCACAGCTGCCTACCCTGAAAAAGAGGCAGTGCTTAACAAGAGCTGGAAAAGAAACTGTTCTGAAGGCTGTCGAAACGGGATGGACAGATAGATCAGAAAGAGGGAAAACAATCCATAGCTCATTTGCAAGATACTACATGGCTAAAGCTACAAACCATGCTTAACATAAACCATGGCTGAATGTTACACTGTGAACACAGCCAGTGACAGGAGAGGCATCTCCAAATATACAAAAAGAACAATAAATGAAACTAGACTTCTTCAGCAAGTGTCCACCACAAACCTGAATGTTTGGAGACACACACCTCTCTTTCCCACTTCACTCTCCACTATCAAACACGCATGTGTACAAGAAGGTGCATAAAAGGTGATGGTGAAACAGCCCTCAAAAGCAGCGTTTTCTCTCGAGTTCATTTTAACAACAGATGGACATCTTTGGGACAAGGACTTGGAAATAGACTCTTGATTTGATTAGGTAACTTAGATATATTTCCCAAAAGGAAATATAGGTCTACTGAAAGGGCAGAAAATACTGTGGAAGAGTTCAAGTTCTCCAGATCCCTTCATCCAGCAAGATGGTACACAAATCCGAAGAGGCAGTGCAGGAAAAAGGAAAAATAAAGTTTGACGCGCAAGCCATGGAGGTCTGCATTTAGTTACAGCCTTAAGATGGAAAGTGGGAAGAAGTTGCAGACATTCCAGTTAGCTCTAACAGGTACTGAGAATGTTTTGGGTTGCACCTAAGACCCCACAGGCATTGCTGAGAAGAACAATGAATGGTCCCCACAAATCTAAAATGTTGCCGATCTGAAAAACAGATTTTCAGTACCTTTGGTTTTGTTTACTTTTCCCCCTGAGGAAGTGTTCTAAAGACTCCAAAGCTTGCACAGTATTCTTTGACTTTTATGCTGGCCTATAACAGTGATACACATTTGGAGTTATTTCCTACTGGTCAACCTTCACTTGTCAGATACATTGTCTGCCTGCAGAATATGTTTAAGAGAACAGCAGGTTGGATAAACAGGAAATGGACGATCAGAGGGAGACAAAGTCTATTATAGATGTAACCTGAACTTTGTGGGGTTTTGTTCAAACTTGTCACATGTCTGGACAATACAGGTTGCTATGCCTAATTCTATGGTTTCTATGGAGGGTGCTAGTAGCTTACCTTTCACATAGTATTAAATGGGCTTTTGTGTTGTTACTGGAAGGTTGTTTCCCTCTCCAGCAAGCCATGCTGCCTGGATTCACACAACATGGCAAACCACAGCAACCCCAAACAGGTTTGAATAGTCAAAATGGCCTGCTTAGACAAGCCAGGGTGGGTTACAGTGATCTGCAAACCAGCTGAGAAAGAAGGTATGTGTGTTCTGCTTTTTGTCCTCCAGATATTTGACCCAATGCAAACTGTGTGGGAGCCTCAGCACAGCACTAAATGTCATTGAGTATAATGAGCCACTGTAATGGGTTAATGTTCTGGAAATCCAGTTCTCAAGGTTTAAAGGTTAATCACCTTTGGTATTGGATTGGATGGACCACCATTTTGTGCGTAAAGGAGAAATTAAGGCTTGAAGGTGATGGGGAAAGAGTTGCTGTAGGCTAGAAAACCACAAAGTTCTTTCAAGATGGCAACTCAACGGGCAGGGCTTGCCAATTCATGTCTGTTTTAAACATCAGACAAGAATGAGGCCTGGTCTTCATACACACACACACATATGTTCACACACTTGCACACACAGAGAGAGGTGGTAGAATCCTGAAGTGGTAGACTGGACTATATAATTTCAAGTTATGAGTGGGGGGATGCCATTTTTAAAAATTTCCCCCATGTAAAGAACTCATTGTAATAAAATCCAAAAGAACTACAAAAATTGAGCTCTTCAGGGAGAATGTGACAAGTTAAAAGTTCTAGTTCCACTAAGGGAAGTAGCACCAGAAGTTAAGTCATGCCTTCAAGAGATGCAATCTAATTACAACTGGGGAGGCGGGAGCCCCTCACAATGTTTTGCAGGAAACACAGTGGATTATTGTAAGATTCCTGGGGTAGTGAGAGAGGCTTGTTGCTCCCAGAGATTGTAAGTGGATTGCTCCAGTGTCACTGTTACAAGGATTGCCAAGTGGTATCAAGAGAATCAATTACCTTTCCAGGTTTTATTTCACCAAAGGTCTTGTCACTAAGCATTTTAATCTATAAAAATAAAGGTGCAGCTTTGTCCCATGTCTGTCTTTCCTCCATGCCTCTATCCTCCATTTATGCTACTTCTACAGCACTATTATCTCAAGCACAGCCATGCCTTTAGGACCAGACCATCTATTTCCGAACCGCTGACACTGACTGGCTCTTGGGGTTTCAGGCGGGGGTTTTTCCAGCCCCACCTGGAGACACCGAGGATTTGCACTGGGGACCTTCAGCACAAAGCATGCCATGGAACTCTACAGCCGCTCCTGGCATCCCGCTATGGCAAAGCCGGTCCACTTCAAAACATCTCACACCATGATGATGCTGTTAAATGTCTATGAACTGCAACCAAAAACAAACTGGGTCAAAACTAAACATACCTTCACAATAATAAAAACTGAAAATATGTATAGCTTTACTGTTTGCAAAACTTCTTTGAAAGAGACATGATGAATTTTGGTATTTGAGCTTTGTGCTTCCAGAGATTCTAGGTTGAGCTTTTCTCTATATAAATGGTTCTCTTCTTTGTACTAATTCATCTGGCAGTCCATTAGCTGTTTTCCTTCATGAACAAATTAACATGGATGTCTCTCTTATGTAGCTTCAATTTCTCTCTCTAGTTAGATCATTTACCTTGTCCTTAGCATACACAGAATTATTAGGAAATTTATTCTGCACGTCCCCAACAAATTCATCCTGTAGAATTAAAAAAAACACACAAGCGTCTAACACGGGACTGTTCCAAAATACAAATACCCATCTGGTTTTACAAAAAGTGTTAGTACAAAGGCAACATTTACAAAGAGTTGGAAAAATATATTTTTAAAGAACACATAGAAGCCCATAACAAAACAATATGTGCACATACAAGGAGAGAGGGAGAGAGATGTTCCTTTTCTTTCTCCAAAACTGAGCTGAAGTTATTTTTGTTTGCCTTTACCAGTTGTCTAGAAAATCAAATCCCGTCTTCAAAATAACATTACTTGTATTGCTCTGCAAAGAAAGAAAATTTATACAAGGTGAATACTCAAATAGACAAAGGACTAAAATTAATTCTAAGTGAGCCACAAATCAATACAATGGCTTGGATCCAAATCAGAAAGGCTCCTTCCATCCAGACAAGCCTTTTCATCCAGCAAAAAAATTCTATCATTGGAAAAGGTGGCAATTTCCATCCTCACCGTACACCAGGGGTCTACAGAAAGTAGGGTGGACTTCAGTTTCGAGCATTCGTGAGTCATTCGTGAGCTCCTCTAGAAGCAGGAGCTTCTAGATTTGATGTACAAAACATCTATCTTTTGCCCATTCCTGCCCTTCAGCCCCCAAAATCTGCTCCAGAGATTGGGAAGAATCAGTAGAAATTGTCTCCCTCCCCCTTTCCATCAGCAGAACATTCTAAGCAGAGGGAGGGCTTCTGCTAATGGAGGCCAACCTAGATCCCACCCAACAGAAGGACACACTGCTGCTGTGAGATTCCTCTTCCATCCCAGAGCTATGGAATTCCGAATTCACATCAAAGGTCACACAGCAGCTATGTCACAACATATGGAATCCTTTCTCAACTTCTGTGGCTGTGCAGTTACACTGATCCTGATCAGTTTTGTACCGAGTGACTCTCAGAGGGCTCAGAAGCATCTCCTGCACAAGCTCCACTAAAATTCCTCAGTAATGCACAGGAGGATCCATGGAAATGGAGGGAAAGACACCCAGAGTCAAGAGCTGGGAACAAGTCTGGCCTCCATGGCGTAGTGGTTAGAGTGTCGGCCTGGCACACAGAAGTTCTGCGTTCTAGTCCCCGCATGGCCATGAAGCTGAATTTGGGCCAGGTGCTTTCACTCAACAGGGTTGTTGTGAGGATACAAGGGAGAACGGGAGAACCATTTCCGCTGCCTGGGGCTTGTTGTGAGTGGAAAAAAGGGTGGGTTGTAAATGCAGCTATAGATAGATAAAAACAGAAACTATGCCCACAAGTATATCACATTCACACACACAAATGGCAGTGGTTCAGTCATATGGAAGACAGTAAAGGGGGCGTGCTAATCAGCTCCTTGCCCCTTGCTCTGGGCCTGTCCCCCCGACACCGGTGCTCCGACAGATGTCAGGAAAGTGGGATCACACACAAACAATCCACTCTGCCAGTGCATCTGCGGAGCTGGGAAGCGGACAGCAGCTGCTGCAAGTGCCCACCTTCTGCAGCGGCCATCCTGCTTCCCCCTGGGATACAGGCTGGAAGACTGAAGAAGGGGAGGAGGCGCTGTGCAGGGACCCCCACTGTGCCTGATCGTTAGCTAAGTATACTGGGGGCCCCAGCAACTTTAAGCCCAGCATGGATATAGCGTTTTCCAAATCGGCACAGAGGGTGCTTAAAAATGAGGGGTTTCATACGCATTCACCCTGGTTCAAACACAACTTTACTGGGGAGCAGGGGAAGGGGGGAATCCAGAAGCTGTAATCTTCCATTCATAACCCCTTCCATGTTTTCCCATCACTTATTCTATTTTTAATACCATGTGAAAGAAGACAATTTGGAACAGCTGTAAAATGCCTTTTGATAGGTAGCATGAGGAGGGGTTTGTCTGGATGGTCCCACACTCATAGCCAGAAATGCAACATATCCCTTTCCAATATACAAAAGCTTCTTCTGTCTGATCTCCTACAAGAAATTCTCTTTTTTTTTATCCCAGAGCAACCCAGCAAATAGCCTGATCTAATTAACAGCACCGTCCTGCCCATGTTCCTGGTTTACATAGCAACTACCCCTGTTATTGGAGGCACCATACAGCCATCAAGACTAGCAGCCAAGGACAGCCTTCTCCTCCCTGAATGTATTCAGTCCCCTTTTAAAGTCATCCAAACTAAAGGGCAACACTACAGTCCTGGAAGTGAATTCCATAGTTTTAACTGCATGCTGTGGGAAGAAGTGCTACCTTTGCTTCAATCCTGCACAATATGGGCTGCTCCCAAGGAAATGGGCTGAGATGATGATTATAAAACATACGGGAGGATTTCAGGAAACTGCATTAGCAGCAAATGCTACATATCTTATGGGTACTGGTAGCACATTAATGTTACTGCTAGACTGAGACTTATTGCTCTGATCCATGGAGGAGGAGAGAAGCAGAAACAAGATTCACTAAGGTTTAGCTTTCTTCAGAACACAATCTTTTCAAGCATCTGGAGGAATGGAGGCTGTTCATTCTTTCCTTTATTTGTAAAGCTCTCTAAAAGATAAAGCAAGGAGTTCAATATTACCTGGCCAAATATCTTCAGGTCATCACTGACTTCTTCATTTCTGGCCCCAAGGGAAGATGGTTTTTCCACTGGTTCAGGGTGAGCATCAAGGCTGAGAGCTGAAGGCTGAACAACCTGAGGTTTTTCCCATTCTGTTGATGACACGGCAAGGACTGGGGTGACCATCTTTTCGGGTTTGGAAATAGTAGGCTTCTCTGCTTTCACCGCCTCCTTTGGGCCAGATTCTTGCCTGCAGTAAGACTGCAGGGTCTTCTCCCCTTTCTCCATAGATTTGATCTGGCTCGGGGTTAGGGAATGGAACTGAGACTGCTCGCCTTCGCACTTGGAGCGCTCAGCACTGATCTTCCAGAATGAAGACTCCTCCTCTTTCCTGGCGGGGAAAAGCCCTTCTGAACTTGGTGCTTTCCCAGCCTGTGAGGGTTTGGGGGCTGGTGGGGCTGGAGCAGTTTTGATGGCTTGCTTCTGTTCATTCTGTGATGCCACCCCACCCGGTTCTTGCATGGACAACGAAGAAATGCTGAATTCCATCTGACTCTGTGGGGGATTAAAAGGAAGCCAACAAAGTATTCAAACCTCTTTCTATGGACAAAAAGTATTAGAGAATAAGATCAGAGGGGCTTCTGTGTACCTTTTCAGGGTTACCACCAATGCGGGTGCATTTGGCACACTGGGCCAGGACTGTCTGGTGTTCAGATCAGCTCCAGGTACAGTTGGCACTTGGACCACAAAACTGATACTGCCTACACAAGTATCACCTGCATTTTGTGCCTAGAAAAGGTGGGCAATATACTTGCTTACAGATCCAGCAAATTCACTACACCGAGTTTCATGGGGGGAACAGGCAAAGCACTGTTCAAGTGGGGGTACCAAATCCGACAGCTTTGGAGAATGACCCCAATTATTAAAAATAAGATACAACACAGAACATACATTCACTAGAAGCAGTTATAAAGCAACGTGAAAAAGCACACATCATGCAAAAACATGGAACATGTTTTAGATGCTGTGATAACATCTCTCTGCTGCACGGCTGGATGGTGCAGGTCTGCCGAGCAATCCTGGCTTCAGATTACTCTGAACATTCAGACATGCTGTAACATGCTTGAAGTAAGCACATTGTCTGGAGAGCATCACCACCACTCTGCATCACCACACTGGGCATATACAAAAGAAAGAGAGGGCATCAGGTAAGGGAGACTTCCTCAAACAAGTGTCTTTCAGCTGGTTTAGATTTCAGCTTCTGTCACCCCAGCTACGTAGCTGGGTGCGCATAATCCCAGTCAGCATGGCTAATTGTCAGGCATAATGGAGTTGTGGTAGTAAAAGCCAATATTACTGTGGATTTCTTTGTTTTCCAAAGGTGGAGAAGAGGAAGTGAAGATGGGATATTTTCATGGGAAAACGTGCCTAAAATGCACGCTGTGTTAAATGCATAGTGTGCAGCTGATCTCAGCTTTTTAAAAGACAACAGCTCTGGGGTTAGCGTGCAGCGCTAATTTAATTTAGACTTCAGAGTGCTTAAGTTACCCCACACCTGCAAACTCTCTCCTTCAAAGTCGCTTTCACTTCAAGGGCACTTTCTGTAGCTCTTGAACCAAGCTCAGTTGTGATCTTGAAGTCCAGCAGAAGGTTTAAAAATATTCAGCGTGTTGTAGGGGGACAAAAACTTTTGCAAAAAATAATACTGGTCAGCATAAAGGGTGTAGCCCTCCCCTCCACCTGATCATTCTACCCTAAAAATTCTCCCCTTCCCAAAGCCCAATGATGGCACCACAAAGGAAAAGACACACCGTCACCCACACAGTATCTGCTTGGGTCCCGAGTTCGCAACAAAGGTGCACAAAACATGAACATCTAGGTCCAAGAGACTTTTCAAAAACCACTTTCTTGAGGATACATGGCCTTCTTTTTTGCAACTGGCTGTTCTTTCCCATTGCACAGAAACAGAAATATATTTTTTCAAAATCCACATTAGGATTTGAATCCATATAACTGTAACAACTAAAGATGTGAAGAGCTGAAGGAGGAAAGCCTCAAGAATGAAGGGCAGGGGAAATTAGTGAAAGTGGAAAACAATTTCCCCTTTGCTTTTCTTCTAGGAATTTTGGAAACAATACACTTTGGGGGATGATTTATTTTTCCTGAGATCTTGGAGCCACACCCAGTTCTTTCCTCACAAGCCTCGACCTCACTAAAAATAACCCCAGCCTGGTCACACAGGATGAGGCATCTTCAGTGGCCTATTTAATTGTGTACAGATCAGCTGTTGTTGTTGTTTTGCTTGCAACAACAAACTTTTAGGCAATTTTGGGAAATGACCAGCTGAAGAACCAATGCTTTAGCAAATATCCACACATGGGATTGTGGTGCAGCTGTAACAGCTGTGTGAGGTCCAGCAACCACCTTTCAACCTGCCTCGTTCAGCTAAAGCACCTGCACAGACAGCAGCTTATAAGCTTCCAGAGTTTCCAGAACTTCAGGATCAGATTGTCTTCAGCTGGGGTCAGATCGTCCTCAGTTGGATAAAGGCTATCTTGGCCGCCCTAGCAGACGGCCTTCACTGGGAAAGTGACATCAGGATGACTCTCCTAGAATTTTGAATATCACCAACCACAATAGATTTTGGTTCTGCCTGTACCAAATGCATCTTACTATATTTCTACTTCTATCTGAAAAATAGGTTCCCAAAAGGGGGTTCTGGGAACCACAGTTTTGGTCAGTGAATACTTTCTTAAATGGTTCCTCTCTCTTCCTATGTTTTTCAGAAGCTAGTAGGCAAGGGTGTCCAGAGAGTTGGAGCAAGGTGCCCTCAAAATCCTTCTGACACCCACTTCTATTCCTTCTGACCTTCCATACCAGCTTTCATGACTTCTCCTTTGAATAACAATATTTACTTATTTATCTGGCCAGGGTGACTTCTTTTCTTTTTTCTTTTCTTTTCTTTTATAACTTTTCTAACTCCTTTTATATCATTTATATTTTTTTATTTTATATTATTAATTTTAATTTTATATTGTTATTTTTGTATTGTATTGTATTTTATAGTGTTGTAAGCCGCCCCGAGGCTTTGGCAAGGGGCAGCATAGAAATGTTCTAATAATAATAATAACAACAACAACAACAACAACAGCTAAAGTCCTGCTCTTGCCTTCATTGCTCCATTCAATATTCTGTTCACTGGGCTCCATCTATACTGTTGAGACAAGAGGCAATCCTTGGCCTCTGTGGTACAGAAGCCCTTCTGGCCAAAGGACCAAATTTCATTCTGAAGAAGATTGAGAGGCATATTCCAGTGGTGGAGGGGACGAAGGAAAAGGGGGCGGGGCCAAAATAATAGCATATTATACCTTAAAGCTCTTTTGTTACTGCTGCCAGTCTCTATACCAGTACCAAGAGGTGGCAAAGGCCAAAGGCAACCAGGCAAGTATTAAACTGCAAAGCTGACCTGGACTCACTGCATCAAACTGGATCTGAACAGAGAAACATTTCCCTCTGGACTAAAAACAGAGAAGACCACAAGAATCCAGGGAGTTATTTTTGTATCTTATTCACTTGCTGGGAATGTAGAGTATTTTGTTAGGCATGCGGCATCCGCAGCCAAAACCAGCCGTTTAGCTTGGTAACCTCAAAATAGAAAAAGAAGAAGGGGAGGGAGGACAACCCATGTTGAAACAAATCCTGCAAGACAAGAGTTTACCAAAACAAAGCAAAACCTCCCAAACCCGAAGCTATGAGCAAAACCAAGAAGAAAGAATCCAGCCCATTCCAGAGACAGAACCTACAGCTGGCCATCTTGACAGAGTATATTATGCCCCTGTCTATGAGTCACCCATGGAGTGATGAACAGGGTAGAGAAAATACTATGAAAGGAAGAATTCTTTCGTAGAATAATCCCCTTTGCAAAATACATCTGAAGGGGCCACTGCAGAAACAAGATCACAAAGCATCACAGAAATGGTGCACAAAATTGCTTCCGCCCTACCATTAGTGCAATAGTGACCCAAGTTCTACCTGCTGCAGCAGTGAAGAACCCCCCACCCCCACTTGGCCTTCCCTGACCCAATTAATGAATCTGGGAAGGCATCAGATCTAAATTAATTTAGCACATATTAACCAAAAACCTCAGGAGGGCAGGTAGGTTCAAGCCCCTCGGGGAACCCCAGCTAACTTGCTGCTGGATTCCCAGACTCAGAGGATAATCTTAGTGATAGGGGAGGTCCTGATGTGGTTTGCATTCAGATCCAGTAACTGAACTGCGTTTGGGGAGTCTCTCCACTACCCCAAGCTGCACTCTGTTATGCTGTGCCCATGCAAGCTCAAAGGATAAGCCATCTTTTGCCAAACCGGTGCCCCCCAGATCTTTTAGACTCCATTTTCCATTGGCCTCCAGCAGCACAGCCATAGGTAGGGAAGCTGGGAGTTATAGCCCAACCCACTCTGGGGACGTAAGGATAAGAGGAGGGAACGGAATATGCTCCCACTGGCAGAGTTGTCAAGCTGCCACCATGTCAAGCTGTCTTCACACACTGTGACTGTGAGCTGGTCTCATGCTCCAGTTCCCAGTACAGCCAGGATGGCATGGTGCGTGTACTGCTGCAAGCCACCAGTCAGCATGATCAGCGTAGGGACAAGCGCCAGGGGGCGGCTAGTTCACCTGGTGGGGACTCCAGCCCCTAGCAAGTTCTGAAACCTGAAGACTCCAAGACTGCATAGAATGTAAATGGATAAAATGGAGCTATGTAAGAAGCTGCCTTGGATTCCTCACAAGCAGAAAAAGCAGGCTATAAATACATGTGGTAACAACAACAAAACTCACTTGAACTGCTGTGGGCCTCATTTTCATTTAATTTCTCACATAAGCAGAGTAACTTTGCACAAAACAATTCCAAGAATGGGAAAAAACTAATTGAAATTCAGAAATATAAACCTTGGGAGAGAGAGCAGCTTGATATGTACCAGGAGAGGCACCCATTTCATAGCCTAAAACTCCCATGGGTCCTTATCGCTGCTCGTGTTGCCTAGAGATGATGGGAGGCGAAACATCTGGCTAAACACAAGCAGATCCCCCTCCCCATGTATTACCATCTGCCTTCCATCAACTCAGAGCACTGGTCCATCTAGTCCAGCTAAATCAGTCTATACCACAGTCCTCCCAACCTGTTGAAAGCCACTGTTTTTAGCCTGTGATGCATATAGCCACAACCACACCTAACAACCACTTGGGCCTACTGTTGCCTTTTAAGAACCGTGGGAACAAAAAAAGATCCTGCCAAGAAAGAAAGACCTGATTGCAAGTTTTCTTGGAAATAAAAATATCTTTGGCCAGCACTATTTTGAAAAATGTGAGTTTTGCAGCACGGAACTAATGGCCAAGCTCCCAAAATATGGAAAGCTAGAAGTAATTATGGCTTTAAGACCATAGTTTGTTGCCTCCCGACCCTAAGCTTGAAGTGCCTGATCCTGCCTAATCTTGGAAGCTAAGCAGGGTCAGGCCTGGGCAGAAATGGGATGGGTGACTTGAGTGTATGATTCTGTGATTATTGCTGTCAACTGCCTAGAGAGCTTTGGCTATGGGCAGTATAAAAATGTAACAATAATAATAATAATAATAATAATAATAATAATAATAATAATAATAATAAGCCTGAGGCTCCAGCATGCTCTGCAACAACCTTCTCCAACCTGGTGGCTTTCCACTAAGACTCCCATCATGACCCATGGTAATTGCTGGCTTGGGGCAATGGAAGTTCTAATCCAAAGTATCTCAAAGGCACCAGTTCTCAAGTTGTCAGAAAAGGGTAAAACTGACTAACGACATGAAGGAGAAAGGGTAAAGGACCCCCCCCCCCCGCAAATTACTGCCTTTGTCTTCTTGATCACTGCCCCCACAGCTGTTTCTCAGAAAATTACAACAGTAAATCACTGGAGGAAGAAATCTGCAACTGTCTGCACTTGCGCTTTGGCTTAGACCTTAGAGATGCGATGAGCTGTTCTCCTCTTGGAGCCAAATTCATTCAGGTCAAGCAGAAGAAATGCACCCAGCTCTAGCCTCAGAACTACACACAGTTATCACTCCTTATGGAAAACAAAGTATACAGCAAAAGGGACGCAGTGAGGCACAATGCACACCATAGAAGAGTTGAAAAGACAGGGATCTCTCAGCATATGAACAGAAACATTGCTCAGAAAAGTAGCATAGGACTTTTTACAATTCGTACCTTTCTTGGAGCTCTTCTGATCAACCAAAATTGCAATTGTTGTGCACTGGTGTTAATTTGGTAAGCAGCCAAAGAAGAAGAAAACATTAAAGAGGAGTAGAACAACTTGGCAAAATTACCTTGGTTTCCCAGGAGAAAGGAGCAGAGTGTTCATCTTGCCAGGTGATATCCTGAAATAAAATTAGAGAATGATAGCACACAAATAAGAGTGCACACTTCTAAAAGGCGAAAGAGATGGAACTCTATGGTTCTAAAACATAAAATGAACAACCGAAGGATTGTACAAATGTCTATTTTAATCTGTAAAGTGATGGAGAATGGCAAGAGTCACAGCAGGAGGCATTCTTAAGTTGTTATATGTGTGGGTTCACAGTGTACGCTGCCCTGTGGAATAAATCTAAAATCTGAGGTAACTGAATTACCCGAATTATGGCAAGTAGCTTTATGACAGTATATTTACTCGGGTCCTAAGCTGATCTCTAAACAGACATTTCCTATTTCATATATATATATATATATATATATATATATATATATATATTAAAAAAAACTGCACACACTCAAGGACTGTGGGATTTATTTATGACACAAGGAAATTAGAATACTCATCACTCCACATTTATTGCTTCACATGCTCTCTTCAAAATCTGCTCATTTAATAAATAAGAGTCTTCCCCTTGTTTGTAGCCTCTTTATGCAAAGTCCGTCTGGATTATTTCTAGCTCACATGTCACCAGCCATGTGAGTTCCAAATAAAAAGCTAGTCAGAACTTTGGCTAGCAAAACACAGACCAGGACAGAGCCTGCCACTCCTCCAGCTGTTCTGCACTTACAGGAGTAAGGCCCTTTCCCATATAGAATCTGAGTCTTGGAAATGCAAACATGCTCTGCATACAGCATACATACTCTTTAGGGACATACAGCATACATACTCTTTAGGGAGTTAAAGTCTTCTAGTTGTCATCACAGCATATGAAGAACTGTGTAGAATTCTTTTATAGGGTGCTATACACAGCCAGCTGCTTGTATAGAAGATACTTTAAAACAGGGGTGAGGAACCTTTTTCCAGTCCAACAGCCAAATTCCAATTTAGCAAAGGTCTGATGGGGTGAGAGGGGAGGTAAATTCCATCTGAGGCCAAAAGCAGTCAGTGTGAGCTGGACCCAAGTTCTATTCTTACCCATTTTAAGCCTACCCCAAAACATTCAAGACAAGCCTTGGTAGGTCTACTCAGAAGTAAGCAGAACTGAATCTCTCAGCAGAACTTTCAAATAGCAACCAAAATCCTCTGCAGGTTTTCCGTATTATGAGGGGGTGCAAGGTGTAGGGAACAAACTAGTAGGTGAGATGGAGAACCCCCAGAGGACCCATCATTGGCCTATAGGTCAGAGATTCCCCATGTCTGTTTCAAAATGCCTGCTTCCACTTTGTGAAATATGTGAACCAGGAAGTCCATGGAGACAGGCACACAAGGTGGAGCTCAACACTTATGGTGAACTTCATAACTTCATAAGGTGAATGAGGGCAACAGACAAAGCTTCCATCCAACTGTTTCAGAAAGTTCCACAGCAGCCCTCCCTAACCCAGAGTCCTCCAAATGTATTAGACTACAATTCCCATCAACCCCACTGCATAGCTGGTGGACCGGATAGGTACTAAGAATTGTAGTCCAACGTATCAGAGTTCCAGGATGGGGGACGTCATTTCCTGAACTAAGCTTTCAAAAATTTAAAAGGCAGTATATGACTTCAGTGGATTGACAATACCAATCGCTGTGTATGAATATGGGCATTGATTTTAAATACGATTCCATAAAAGCTACCCATAAATTATGCCTAAAACTTGAAAATGCAGCACAAGAGTTCCGAAACAGCTTCAGAAGTGATCTGATTTGATTTAGGTATTTTGTATACGGCCCATTCCATATGCATGTTCCTTTCTAAGGGCTCAGGCACATTAATAATAAAGTCCCAGTTATCAAATCTTCATTTATCCTGTTCCTGTAACCAACCGCTAAAAGGTATACAGATGATTTCTTCCAGTTCCAGGACATATTCTGACTCAGCCTTTGGCAAGTCTCCAGTGGAAGGGAATGTCAACATTAGAGGCAGCTACTGGGAGCACCTCTATGTGTCTTTGGAGTCCTGTGTTGGCACATCTGCAATCTTCCTAATATGGGGTTCCTGGTTATGTTAGGTGTCACTATGCTGGAATACAAAAGTGATCTCTTGGGTATGCTCAGCTAATGCAATTTGCTATGGGAAATATGCAATGATTTAACAAGGCACACAGATGATCACCAGAGTAAGGGGAAGATAAATAATGAAATGTTTTGATTAATGTTCAAAACCAGCTTAGAATGAATCCGCCGGGGTATTTAAATCATCAAAATGGATTTCCCACCCACATCGTCAATGTGCAAGAAATAGCACGCTTCCCCTAAACAGATGCCAAGGAATTAAGCTTTTGCTCACCCGGCAGCACATTCAAGGAGCTGGAGCTGCACTGCTGGCTTCTGCACATTTGAACTGATGACAACAATGCCATCTGCAAACAAATATTTGGTCATAGTCCTAAGCTCAGGAGCCAGCTGGAATGGATCAGATACGAGAAAGTATGCCTCTAACAGCAACATCCAGGCAGCTTGTTAGGGGGGAAAAGTACTGGAATTTTAAGATGGGGGAGACACTGGTATCTTTCTTTTCTGATGGAGATGACATAAGCCAAGATCAGATCATAGCTCCTGAAGAGCCAAATAACTGCTCTGTTTTCCAAAATAACACAAGAGATTTCTCTGTTGGCCACTAAGAAAGCACTACAGTAGCAGCTCTATTACGTAAGACACATTTTTGGATAATATTGGGAAAACACAAAGAAAAAAGAGGAAGAAAGAATATGGGGAAAGAGGAGGGGTGCTTCTAAACACTGCTGCAAAGCACGTTCTCTTGCCACCGGGAGCTCCCATGAAGCACAGGGGCTTCACTACTCACATGCAGGGAGAGGGAACTGTTTCCCAAATGTTTGCAGTAGAAAACTTGTATACACATCATGTCCCTACACAATTTGGAACCCTGATTCTGGACATCAGGGGAATGCACATGCAACATTTACTCATGTGAAGGAGTAGAAGCCTGTACAGGCTAGCAGGAACTTGTCAAGAGTGCTGTTTGTAACCCCCCCATGAGTACGCATGTTTTGCAATGCATAGGGTCTTCAGAAATAACAGGGCATCACACTCCTTAACCAACAGCATTGAGTTTTGAGAAGCTTGTCCTGGGGGGAAACCTGGTAGGTGGGAGATGGGAGGACCAAGGAGAAAGAGAAAGGAAAATCTGGCATACAGATATTCAGGAATGTGGTAGGACTCTATCAATAACTTCTCCTTGAGAAATACTGGAATGCCTTTCTTAAGGAAGAAGGTGTAGACACAATGCAGCACCCTACTTGCAAGCACGTGTTAAAGTTGGAATCACAATTCCTGTACCCAGTTTTGACTACTCAAGAGCCAAGCGCTGTTCTCTATTCTAAGGGTAGGTAACCTGGAGGACAAAACTTCAGAAGACCATGCCTCCCTTCAGCTCTAGACTGCGCTTGCTATTCATTTGATGCCGTCACCTAGAAACCTGCAAGGGCTCTTTCTCTCGCTCTCTCTCACACACACTTTATGTAAACTCACTGTTATAGGTTTAGAACTCTATATGACCAGCTGTGCTGGCAGTATGGGATCAAATACCACACTGACTTACGCAAATAGTCTTAAAGCTGGTGGACACCTACATGTTCCCCAGGGGGAATGTCCCACCTGTGGCTGCATTAGAACTTACTCCATGGACTAAGGCTGGTCCATGACTTATTACTCATCCCCTATTTCTTCAAAGGATGACTCCCAAAGCCATCTGATTTCAATCCAGTTTTGCCCTGCTTAGAACCTACTTTATCTTATTTAATTCAACTTACTGAGAATGCAAACAGAAAAGTGCTAAGGAACAATATGTTTAACTGACCAAGGTAAACATTGTAGAAATGGAAGTACAAGAAAAATCAACTTTCTGCTTTCATGTAGTTCCCTAATAGAATATATGTTTTGTTTACAGAGCTTTCCAACTGAGTAACACAAAGAGGTTATAGAATTTTTAAATGTACTTTTAAGAGCACCATGGATGTTGCCAAGCATTTAAATCCCACATAAATTTGCTGGCACTTGTGCACCTACCTCAATTCACCTTCCTTTTAAAAAATTCACATAAAGAATTAGAAACTCAGGTATGATATACATGTCTTGAGTTTCTAGCTTTGCGCTTTACAAAGATGTTGGGCTCACAGAACATAAGCCATACTATGGGTTGAATGTGGATTGACAAATTGTGTGATCCCAGCCACACTAACCCATCATGATTTGTTAACTGCAAACAACCTACAAAGAGAACCCACAGTATGTTGCTGGACCATGAAATGAGGCTTGTCATATTATTATTATTATTATCATTATTATTATTATTATTATTATTATTATTATTATTATTATTATTACATTTCTATGCCGCCCCTTGCCGAAACCTCGGGGCAGCTTACAACATGATAAAATACATTGAAATACAATAGTACATAATAAATTACCATTAAATACAAAAATACAAAAAATACATTGATTTACAAATATAAAATTAGAATTATCAGTATAAAATAAAAATATAGGAGGAGAAAGAGAAGGAAGAAGAAGTTGCCCTGGCCAGATCATATGTTTTAACAATTGAAATGATGTTTAAATAAAAAGGTCTTTACCTGGCGCCGAAAAACCAGTAACGACGGAGCCAGGCGGACCTCTTTGGGGAGTGAATTCCATAGGTTGGGCGCCACCACAGAGAAAGCCCTCCTCCGGGTACTTACTCTCCTAATTTCTTTCATGGAGGGTTCCCGGAGAAGGGACTCTCCCGCAGATCTCAAAGGGCGGTCGGGCATATACGGACGTAAGCGCTCGTTCAGGTAGCCAGGACCCAAGCCGTTTAGGGCTTTATAGGTCATATTCAACACCTTGAATTGGGCCCGGACTTCAATGGGAAGCCAGTGAAGCTGACGGAGGACTGGAGTCATGTGAGCATAACGCCCCGTCCCCGTCAGCAGCCTGGCAGCTCTATTTTGCACCAATTGAAGTGTTCGGACTGTCTTCAGG